AGCGGAGGGTTGACTTGACTAGAAAAAACCAGGTCTACTTTGCAGTTAAAAACTCCCTAAGATGTCTTACGTCATGAGAATGTGTAGCAAATATAAATATGAAAAATATTTTGGACGGGGACATTGCGATGCATTCATGATGCACAATATAGACAAAACGTGTTTTTTTATTCGCTCATTACAATGGCCACTGATTCTGTGCAATTCCTTAACCATCCAGAAAAGTGGTGGGTCTAGTCTTGTTTGAGGCTTTTGCGTTCTACAATCAACGCCCTACAATCTCGTAGCCATGCGAAATAATATTTTCCAATGTTACCACATTTTACCAAGTAAGAATCATCGTTTTAATTAAGTAATAACTTAGGTCCTGACTACGCCATATCACCCCACTCCCTCGATATGTCCCACTTTCTGCGACTTACTCACTTGTAATGTCGCATTCCACAAATGGCGTTTGTCTGGTGTGATCGACAGATGACACTATCCGAACAATATCTTTCTTTCTTTTTTTAATTACACGCTTTTGTGTGATAAATAGTAGACGGGGCGAACCCCATAGTCCCGAAGATCTCCTGTTCAGTGATGGAAACCGGTAACCTAAAACCCGGGATTTGGAGTGGCGAACCACATAAGGCCCCGATAGGGTAGGCGGGGTACTGACCCGGATGACAGCAAAGCTGCCTACCACCAAAGTTGAGCGGCTTTGGCGGACTCGAACCTCGGACCATGGGGTCCAAAGCACGCCGGTGACCGTGACTAAACCACTGCTCCACTACAACCCATACATACGATGAATTCGTCCAGCATAGAGCGAATGAAGCATGAACTGAAAAGCTAGGAAACAGCTGTTTGGACGCAAGCATGCAACCCACTGGGCTACCGGGCAACTGATCAGACCACTTTTTAATTTTCTATTTACACAATAAACAGCACAACCTATCTTTGCGAGCTTGGTGCGAGGCGCAGACCTCTCTCTCATCTCAGCACTAGCCTCCGGGGGGTTGACTCGGTTGAAAACAATCACAAACTGACTACTTATTTCATATGAGTAATGGAGTGATAGACTAGCACTGCTGATGAAACTCAACTAGGTAGTTCACGTTTCATTTGCTCTACGCACGAGGAATTCACATTATGAAACCGAATCCAATCCTCCATTACTCATATTTTGATGGAAGGCAGTACAAAGAGAGTCCTGGCTAGTGACCGAATGAAGAATGGGGCTCATCCAACCAGACGCGCAGACAAAGCGGCGGGAAGTGCCTCGCGAAACAATGTTGACTGACACCCGAAACGAGCGAATCGACAATTACAGCCCGACAGACAGTCCGTAGCTAACGGAAAAGAGATCCACCGAATGCCACAACGTCGGAGCTATCGAGAAACGCATCTCGCGCCGCGATCGGGTCAAACCAGTCGGAATGGCACGCGGAAGAAGAGGCAACGTACGTGCCAAGTGCGGACCAAAACCAACAAGGAATGACCCACAGAAAGCAGCATGAATCATCCCACCGAGCGGGATTAAGAATTACTTGTATATAATCGAACGCATACACCGTTTGCTTTTGAATTGGATCAATAGACGTTTTTCCCAGCCAGCTCGCCTTCTCGTTACAATATGAAGCATACACAACAAAAACCTAAGATGAGCAAGCGTCGGTTCAGCAGGAAGAAGTAGACTATGCAGGGAATACTGAATCAGCCAGGTGCAACTCAGAGCTCTTTGGTAAAATCCCTTGCTACTTCAAGCAAGCGATCTCTAATGTAGACTTAACACGGATGCCTCCAAACTGGATACCTGTTCATTGGCATGTACTGACAGATGCTTTCCTAAGTGCTGGGTCTAAACCCACATTGAATCAACCGATGATACAGCTACCAGAGGATAAATGCGATCTGATGGAAGATTTTAGACATCATGTGTTTATTGATGAGCGCGTCCTTTTGAAAGAGAAGAAATCACTTGTCTTTAATTCGGTGATGCAGAACTGGATTATCCACAAGCGTTGTACCGGATCTCGCTTTTAGTTTTTAGATAAACTTGTTGCGATCCAATTCAAGCGACTCAAAGAAGAACATGTGTATGAGACTGTGAAAGCGCACAAGTTATTGAATCAATTACGCACCAGCGTGCCTCGACAAGGATAGTTTATGCTGTCTATAGTGTTTTAAGTCAGTTCCTCTTTTA